TTTTTATTTTATGTTTTTTCATTTGTATGTTTTTCAAGGTAGAGTTTCTTTATGTAGCCCTGACTGTCTTGGAACTAGCTTTGTAGACCAGGCCTGCCTCAAATGAGTGCTGGGATTAAAGGCCTGTGCCGCAGCTGTTGACTGGAAGATGTGTTTTAAGTGATGTGTGAATCAGCATATACTTACTCTCAGAATATAAGCACTTTGCCTGACTGAGGGGAGTTTCACATTTCTGTGGTGTCACGAGAAACACACTGGCAGAAGGTGACCATGACTCCTGAGTTCATTTGCCACAAATAAAGCATGGTACTGAACAGCTTTAGTCCTAGCATTCAGGAGGAAATGGCAGGTGGATCTCTGATTTTGAAGCCAGCCTGGTCTAGTTCCAAGAGAATGAGAACTACATAGAGAAACCTTCCCCCACCAAAAAAAAGGAAAAAAGAAGACAGATTTCATTGTTCAGAGAGAGAATACTAATTTTGTAATTTATTGATACCAACAGCCAACTGTTGTTTTATATATTAAGCAAGATATACATTAGAAAATCATATTTCAACATTTAGTCTTTGTGGGTTTTGTTTTTTTTAACAAAGTAACTCTGGCTGGCTTGGATGTCTATGTCATCCAGACTGTCTTTGAACTTGAAGTGATCCTCCTGTCTCAACCTCCCAAATGCTAGGATTATAGGACTGAGTGAGCCACTACATTCACAGCTACATTTAGACTTGGTTTGTTTTGTCTTTTTTTTTTTAAGTTTTCCTGTTGGTGCTTTAATTTTTAAAACATTTTATTTACTCGTTCAGTGTGGATTTGCATGAATGTATACTTGTGCACTTACAGGTTAGCAGACAATATGAGAGAGTCATTTCTCAGCTTCCCTCGGGTAGATTCTGAATGCTGCAGATTGAATTCAGGTCATCAGGCCTGGCATCAAGTGTCTCCACCCATTGAGCCATCTTGCTGTCTCCCATTTAGATTTAAGTGGTGTAGTAGTGCCCTCAGCATCCAGCTTGCTTTAAAAGGACTTGTGTGGCAGGTTTTTCTGCTTAAGAATGGCTTAGGCCTGACAGCTTGAGTTCTTTCCTGGATCCCACAAGGCGGAGGAAAGAACCAACTTTGTAGAGTTGTCTTCTGAGTCCCCTCTACATACATTTCCGTGACAGATGTGTATCTATACACATAGAAAATGGTTGGACTTTGATGTGACCATAAAGAACTTAACATTGTATGAAGTGTGCTAATCTGGAAATAGGAACTGCCATCTTTGCTCTGTCTCTGTGGTTTTAACATCTTCCTGTGCGACACGTTAAGTATTGGGGAGCTTTCATTGTCTTTCTTCCATAGCATACTAGAACTATCCTGAGGAATTCCTCTGAAGTTAGGCCTTGCTTTAGTCAGGACTTCTTTTGCTGTGACTAAATGAGACACCACGACCAAAAGGAAGTTGGGGAGGAAAAGGTTTTTTTCTGGTTTTTCGAGACAGGGTTTCTCTATGGCTTTGGAGGCTGTCCTGGAACTAGCTCTTGTAGACCAGGCTGGCCTCGAACTCACAGAGATCCGCCTGCCTCTGCCTCCCAAGTGCTGGGATTAAAGGCGTGCACCACCAACGCTCGGCAGAAAAGGTTTATTTTGCTTATGCTTTCACATCACCACTCATCATTGAAAGACGTCAGGGCAGAAATCCAGAGGTAGAGCTAATGCAGAAACTGTGGGAGAATGCTGTTCATTGACTCGTTCCTCATGGCTTGCTCCTCCTGCTTTTTATACTAGCCCAGGGATGGTACCACCCACTATGGGCTGATCCCTCTCTCAACAGTCATTAATTAAGAAAATACCCCACAGACTTTCCTATAGCCTAGTCTTAGGGAGGCATTTCCTCAATTGAGGTTCTTTCTTATCTGATGACTCTAACCTGTGTCGGGCTGACAACTACTATCCAGCACAGGCCAACTAATTATCATTGTCACTATCGTAATGCATAACTGGTAGGTATCTTTATGAAGCTATTGTCAAATGGCAAATAGAAGCACTTCTAGAGGAACTCCAGGAATAAAAAAAAAGGACCTAGAATAGTCTTAAAGCATAGTAATTGAGGGATTACTGTCTAGCTTTCTTTCATTTAGGCTAAGCTATAGCAAAACCAGCATTTATTCTCAGAAGATGGTATTGAGAATAAACACTGAGCTAGTCACAGTGTCTCACACCTGTAATCCCAGAGCTGACTGAAGCAGGAGTTCAAGGCCATTCTGAGCTACATGATGAGTTTGAGGCCAGACTGGGCTATATGAGATCCTATCTCAACCTTTTCACCGAACCTCCAAAAAAAAAAAAAAAAAAAAAAAAAGAGAGGTCTACAGCCTTGGAAGGTAGGCTTACTCAAAAGATGAGATGTTCATGCCAGCTGTGGTGCCATTTGTCTGTATTTTATTCCAGCACCTGGAGGTAGAGGCAGGTGAATCTCTGTGAGTTTGAGGCCCGCCTGGTCTAGTGAGTTCCAGAACAGCCAAGACTACACAAAGAAACCCTGTCTCAAACAAACAAAAGCTAAAGTTCTTTCACCCTTATCAGAAGGAGCAAGGCTAGCTTTGCCCTTAAAGAACTAGAGACAGGTTATATGTAAAAGGAACAGGAAAACTGAAAGACATATCAAACAAGAATAGCTAATATCCTCATAGGGATAATTGTATATATATAAAAGGAAATTAATAAAAATCAGGACAGTGAAAACTTGGGACAGTCAAAATAATTATCTGATCAGCCAAGTGGGCATAGCTGAAAAGCATGTTAGTGTACTGAAAAATGGAGCTGGCCAAAGCATAAAATGAAGGTTAAATATAGAAGAAAGGAGATGCAGGGAACATTCTAGCATCCATTTATGGTAACTGGTCACGATGGGGATAGAAGACAGCAGAAGGAGGCCACAATGAGTAACAGAAGAAAGTTTCTCCATAATGCTTTATGCCTCTAATACAGGCTGAGTAGTACAAATGATAGGAGTCAACTTTGTCCAGACTTTAAAGTTGTTGACAGTGCTAATTTTCCTCATTATGTGGGTTGCTTTAGGATTCTAACCAGTTATCAGGTCAAGGAAACTTTCTCTGTTGCTTCCAAAACCTAGTAATTTGTTGAGTTCTAAGATATTAAGTGTTGAGTTTTACCATTTTTTTCCAATAAGATTTGGGGTGATCATATGGCTTTGCTCCTTTTACTTGTAAATCATATCATTATTAGTATTAACCCTTGCATTTAGGTAATTGTTATATGATATTGGTATTTACTTTGTTTAGAATATTTAGTTTTGCTTAAAACGTTGATGAGAGATTATAGCCTGTTTTATTTGTGATTGTTTATGTTTGTTTACTTGTTTATTTGGGATTGTTTTGTGTTTTGACCAAAGCTGGTCAAATTTTGCTGTAAAAACTGAATAATCATGGCTGGTGATACATGACTCAGTGACTAAGAATGTTTACTGGGTTTTGTGGGGGTTTTTGTTTTTAGATTTATTATGTATACAGTGTTCTGTCTGCATGTATCCCTGCAGGGCAGAAGAGGGCACCAGATCTCATTACAGATTGTGAGCCATCATGTGGTTGCTGGGAATTGAACTCAGGACCTCTGGAACACCAGCCAGTGCTCTTAACCACTGAGCCATCTCTCCAACCCTATGTTGTTACTGTTCTTGCAGAAGACCCACTTGAGTTCATTTATCCAGCACCCATAAGACAATTGACAACCACCTGTGAGAGCTGTTGCCTTCTTTTGGCCTCCTCAACTTCCTGCACACATGTGGTGCATATAAACTCTCTTTCACACATATATGTTTTTAAAAATTTAAAATGACTGGGCAGTGGTGGTGCATGCCTTTAGTCCCAGTATTTAGGAAGCAGAGGCAGGTGGATCTCTGTGAGTTTGAGGCCAGTTTGGTCTACAGAGTAAGTTCCAGAACAGGCTCCAAAGCCACAAAGAAACATTGTCTCGAAAAAACAAAAACAAAAAAGATTCAAAATGACTGTTAGTACATACATTTTAAAATATACCTATATTGATAGAAACAGCTTTGGGGTGTTTTATAGAAAGAAAACCTGAAGGCTTCTAGACAGCAAAGCTGTCAGTTTTTATTTCAAGAGATATTATAGGCAGAGAAAGTAGCTCAGTTGGTAGTTTGCCTAGTGTGCATAAAACCCTGAGTTATATCTCCATACCACATGGAACTGACTGTGTATACCTATAACCTAGTAGAGGGAAGGATAGACAAGAGCAGCTGTGTATTAAGTTTGAGCCAGCCTGAGCTATAAGATATCTCTCTCCTTGCAAAAACAATCAGCAGGCGAGAAGGTTCAGCAGGGAAGTCTTTGTTGTCCTTACAGAGGGTCAAAGATGCATTGCCGGCTATAGGTGACTTACTATTGCCTAACTCCAACTCCAATGATGCACTCTTCTGGCCTCTGGATACCATCAGAACATTCAGGCACATATACAAACACATTCACATATTAATAAAAATAAATAAATCTTTAAAACAAACAATGGTGCTGGAAAGATGGATCCATGATTAGGAGCACTGGTTGCTCTTCCCAAAGACTGAAATTTTTTTTTTCTTTTTCAAGACAGGGTTTCTCTGTGGCTTTGGAGGCTGTCCTGGAACTAGCTCTTGTAGACCAGGCTGGCCTCGAACTCACAGAGATCCGCCTGTCTCTGCCTCCCGAGTGCTGGGATTAAAGGCGTGCGCCACCACCGCCTGGCTAAAAATTTTTTTAAGGTAACACAAAATTATGACTTGTTAGTTGCATTTACGTATTTTTTTAAAATTGTCTGTCTTGGGCTTCTTTTGGGGGGGCTGGGGAAGTTAGATACAATCTTAGTATATCCCCCAGGCTGACCTTAAACTCAAGATCCTCCTAGTTGTGCCTTTTAAGTGCTAGAAGTAGATGATGCCCAGCTATGCCCAGCTGATTGTTTCTCTTCACAATGCACTTACTATAAATTTCATTTTTCTTTAGGTACGCATAGCTGCTAAATTCATCACTCATGCACCCCCTGGGGAGTTTAATGAAGTATTCAATGGTAAGTAAAGATTAATATTGATTTGTAAGGCTTCCTTAATTGTCATTATTTACATTTCCCCCTTTCTTTTAAAATTTGTATTCCATTTACTTATGGGGGGGCGGTATGGGCAACTGTGAGAGTTGGTTCTCTCTTCTGCCACGAGAATCCTTGGAACTGAACTCAGGCCCTCAAACTTAGAAGCAAGCTTCTTTCCTTGCCAAGGCATCCCTCTAGCCCTTTCTCTTTTTACATTTGGGTCTTTTGTGACCCAGGGTGGCCCTGAACTCGAGTGCTGGAACATGAGTGTACACCAACACACCTAGCTGTGAGTGCTTTCTGTCTCCTGATTCCTGTGACCTGTTACAGCTTTGCTAAAGACATCAACATTTAGAAACATTGAAATGACTTGTTCAAGGTCACTCAACTACTAAATGTAAAGGTTAGAATTCAGTTCTAGGTTTGAATCAAATACTTAGTTTTGCCTAGTTCGTTAATTAGGATCCCACTCTCGGGTAAGGAAAGACTTAACGTAACTGGTTGGCATAGTAGCTCATACCTGTAATCTCAGCACTAGGAAGGCTGAAGAAGGAGGATTGCTGCAAGTTTTCAGTACAGCCTGAACTAAAGATTGTCTCAGAACTAAAAATAAATGAATAGACATTTAAAGCAGCTTCATGTTTTAAAAAATGACAGTAAATTGACTTTTTGAAGTTTTTCCTTTTTGATTCCTCCTATGCCTTTAGCTTTCTCATGGGAAGTAAAAACTTCAGTTCTCACTGCCCTTCCTCAAGAAGCCCCATCCATATAAAGGACATTTCCCAGGACTAGTGTGTCTCTACTAATTCTGTCTGAAATTCATTAAAATTTCAGGTTCAGCTGGGCAGTGAGTGGTGGCACACTTTATTTAATACCAACACTTGGGAGGTAGAAACAGGCAGATCTCTGAGTTCAAGGCCAGCCTGATCTACAGAACAAGTTTTAGGGCTGCAGAAAGAAACCCTGTCTCAAAAGAAATTCAGATTCAGCTAGAAATGGTGGACCATGCTTGTAATCCCAATACCCATGAGACTGAAGCGTGAGAATTACTCTAGTTTCGGGCTAGCCTAAAGTACAAAATGAGCCTTTGTTTCAAAAACAAAAGCCAGAAAATTATTAAATAAATTTACAAATTTGCCTTTATTACCCCCTCGAGATTTTCACCTATTAGGTATTAGGTGGGTGTGGTAGTGCATACCTGGAATCCCAGCATTTGGGATGCAGAGACAGGACGAAACCTGGACTACAGCCTGAGACCTGGTCTCTAAAACCATATAAACGAGGTCTTGGTTTTCCATGATTCATCTGTGCTAGGTATGGTGGTGTACACCTGTACTCCCAGCACTTGGGAGGTGGAGACAGGAGGATCAAGAGTTCAAAGTCTCGGCATTAGGGCTACATACTAAGTTTGAGGTCACCTCAGTCTACAGGAGGCCTGGTCTCAAACAAATAAACAGACATTTTCTAAGGTCCAGGGATGTAGCTCAGTTGGTAGAGGGCTTGCTTAGCACGCACAAAACCCTAGGTTCAGGTCCTAGCACAGCATAAATTAAGCATGGTGATCAGAAGTTCAAGGTCATCTCCAGCTGCTACATGGTGAGGTAATTTGAAGCCAACCTGAGAATTTTTGTTGGGATGGGTGGTGGTAGTGTATGCCTCTAATCCCAGCACTGGGGGAGGCAGAGGCAGGTGGATCACTGTGAGTCTGAGGCCAGCCTGGTCTGCAAAGTGAGTTCCAGGAGAGACTCCAAAACTACACAGAGAACCCTGTCTCAAAAGAAAAAGAAAGAAAGAAAAAAATTTTTTGTTGGATTATGATAGTACACATAATTCTATAGGAACCTATGGACATTAGTGCCCATTGCTCATTAGCATGTTTAGAATTTCCGTACATGGAGTATACCTGAAGACTCATCTTGCAAGCCCTGAATATATTTTAGAAATGTATTAATGTTTCATGAGTTTGGTCTGTACTCATTGTGTTCCAATGCTTTCTTCCTCAGATGTCCGGCTACTACTTAATAATGACAATCTCCTCAGGGAAGGGGCAGCACAGTAAGTATCTTTTAAGCCCATGCTTGGGAATACAGCTTAGTGACAGAGAGCTTGACTGGCCTGTGTGTGTGAGTCCTCAGTACAGTTCAGCACTGCACACCATGCGAACCAACAACAGTCTCCTTTCATTCCAGTCTCCTATCATTGTATAAACTGTGGTGACAGTAAACTGGTACCTGAAAACCTAATTTGAGACACTTCCAACTAAAACAGTCTTTGTGTTAGTGACTTCTAAAAGAATAAATTTATTTATTTGTTATTTAGTTACTTATCTGACCCAGGGTTGATAGACCATCATGGTGTCAGAAACACGTGACAGATTTCTTACTTAATGGCAAACAGAAGGCACAGACAGGCAAGGCTTGGGACAGTATACAATCACCAAGGATATGTCTCCAGTGACCCATCTTTTTCAGGTAGGACCTACCTCCTTAAGTTTCTAGACCCTCCTAAAATCATTGCCAGCTGGGGACTAGAACTTTCAAACCAAGCTAAGACAAGACAGTCTCTTTTGCTATAGAAAACTGTTTTAAGAGCTGTTACCTAGGAAACAGTTGAGGACTGTTTGTGGTAATTCTTCACAGTCAAACCATGTCTTCTTTTTTTAATATTTTATTTTTTATTTATGTATTGTGTATACAGTCTTCTGCCTGCATGCCAGCAGAGGGCACCAGATCTCATTCAAGGTGGTTGTGAGCCACCATGTGGTCGCTGGGAATTGAACTCAGGACCTCTGAAAGAACAGTCAGTGCTCTTAACTGCTGAGCCATCTCTCCAGCCCCAAACCATGTCTTCTTTACTTTTCTTTCTTTCTCCCTTTTTAAAATTTATTTTTTTGGTAGAGGAAACACATTCGCCCTAAAGCATTTACTTCCTTGGAACTTAACGTATGAGGACTGGAGAGATAGCTCAGCAGTTAAAAGCACTAGCTGCTGTTCTGAGGTCCTGAGTCCAATTCTCAGTAACCACACGATGGCTCACAACTATCTGTAACAAGATCTGGTGTCCTCTTTGCCCTGCAGGAATACATCCAGATAGAACACTGTATACATAATAAATAAATCTTTTTAAAAAACCTTAATATAGCCAGTTGGTGGTGGCACACGCCTTTAATCCCAGTACTCGGGAGGCAGAGGCAAGTGGATCTCTGTGAGTTCAAGGCTAGTCTGGTCTACAGAGTGAGTTCCAGGACAGCTTCCAAAACAATGCAGAGAAACCCTGTGTTTTTGGGGGGTGATAATGATACAACCCTTAACATATAAAATTATTTATTTTTGTTTTGCCTAGATTTTTCTCATTAAGGCAGAATTTTCTAGTTCATGTGGATTTTTTTAGTTTTGGATGCACGGTATCATTATGTAGCTGTAGCTGATCTGAACTTGCTACATAGTCCAGGCTGGCCTCTAAGCAATCCTGCCTTTGCCCCTTTGCTCCTCTGTTCCTACCTCACTGCCCCCTCTGCCCCTTCTGCCTCCTCTGCCTCCTCTGCCCCAGCCTCCTCCTCCTGTGCTTCTGCAGTGCTGAGACTACAGGTGTGCACCACCATGCCTAGACATATGTAGAATCTTTTTAAATTGCTACTTATAGAAAGATTAGCCTGCTAATAAGGGTTGATGAAGCTTCACAAAGAATATAACTAATTATAGGATAAAATCATGATTATTCTTCCTGGTCACTGAATACTTATTGCTGGCAGAGTAACTAATCTTCCTAAAACACCAATTCCAGCCAGGTAGAATGGTGCATGCTTATAATCCTCACACTCAGAAGGCAGAGGAAAGAAGATTAGGAGCTCGAGGCCAACCTCAGCTACATAGCAAGTTCTAGACAAATAAGTGAGATGTCACACACAAGAAAATAGTATTTTAAGCCCTCCTTGTCCTCAAAAACATAATGGTGGGGCTTGTTTGGTTTGGGATTTTTGTTTTGCTTGTTGATTCTTCTTCAAGAATCAGATATAAACAGTGGTTTTCAAGGGCCCATCTGTCTTTATCACTGCTCTGCTCTGTTCTTCCCAAAGTCCCCTTTCAGTTACTGTATACCCAACTGGCCCAAAGTCTCTTTGTAAAGAGGAAACATGAATTGGATATTGCTGGAAAGAGGTGGGCTGGGGGAGGGCAAGAACATGTCGATACAAAACACATAACTATCATAAAGTTATTTTGGTATGCTATATGATTTGTTTGAATTTGTTACCTGGTAAACAATCATCTGCCCTGTTCACACTGCTTTTGAGACTAGATTCTGTTGATCTAGAATTTCTAGACTATCAATGTAATTCTTTGGAAATTAAGGTACACATTGGAGATACTCCAAACATAACTTGACAAATTACCACTGATACTATGGCGGAATGCCACTCAAGTGCTTGAAGGCAACCATGGTAGTACGAGCCTGTAATCTCAAAATTTGGTAGGTGAAAACAGGAGGATTGACATGTGTTCAAGACTAGCCTGGACTACAGATTGAAACACTCAATATTTCTCAACCTTGAAGTGCTGTGACCCTTGAATACAGTTCCTCACATTGTGGTAACCCTCAACCATAAAATTATTTTCAATGCTACTTCATAAAGTAATTTTGCTACTGTTACGAATCATAATGTAATGTGACCCCTGTGAAAAGATCATCACCACCACCCCTAAAGGGGTCTGGACCCATAGGTTGAGAAACACTGCTCTAACTCAAACACTGTAGTTGTCCTGATTCTAATTAGGATTGGTTGTGTTGATATGTAGTTCAGGTGCTTCTGCTGTTTTAATTTACACTGACGGACACTAAAACTGTGTGTGTGTGTGTGTGTGTGTGTGTGTGTGTTCAAATTTTTTGAGAACCTACTTTTTTTAAAATTTATTATTAAGTATACAGTGTTCTGCCTGCATGCCAGAAGAGGGCACCAGATCTCATTACAGATGGTTGTGAGCCACCATGTGGTTGCTGGGAATTGAACTCTGGACCTCTGGAAGGGCAGCCAGTGCTCTTAACCTCTGAGCCATCTCTCTAGCCCGAGAACCTACTTCTTAAAGGAGAATTTTCCTGTGCCCAAATAATTTGATTTCTTTTTCTTATGGGAATGAAAAACTCACTTTATTTCTGGAATGAAATGCTCCAGTCTCTCGGTCAAAATCTTCCTGGTGCCTGCTACAGGCTGTTTCTCTAATCTTCACCATTATTATTGCTTCCTTTATAAACTGAAGGAGGCTTTATTATTCCTGTGTATAAAATACACATAGATAATGCATTAGATTGGCCTAGGATTTACCTTCTTTCCTATATTTTGGCACCAGTGCTTCTAACTGCAGGCTATTCCCTGATAGTGCCTAGTACTTCTGCTGTAAATAGGATGTTATAGCTCACATAGAAGAGTGAATTTCATTTTTGAGTGAGATGACATTGTTAAGGGTGTTAAGCAGAGAATGACATGGTAAGCTTTAAGCTTTAAGCCTTAGAATAATCACCAGCTATGTATTCTGGTAACTCTGTAAGGGGCAAAGGCTGAATGAAGGCAGTTGAGAGATAAAGGTAGTAATTTAAAGTGGAAACAGTAGGCATGGGGGAATCAGATTTCGATTATACTTATCCTAGAACTGGTGGGTTGGATGTGAAGTGTGGGAGAAAGAAAAGCTAAGGATGATTCCAAGGTTTTTGGATTTAGGTTGCTCGTAAAATGGAGATACTATTTACTTTTTCAATTCTTTTTTTTAAATAGTGCATTTGCCCAGTATAACATGGATCAGTTCACACCTGTGAAGATAGAAGGCTACGATGACCAGGTAATAACTGCTAGTTAGTTTGTGCTTGACAGGTGGTAGAGATATAAATGTCATCAGCAGATAGTAAATTGGGTGCCAAATATATTTATGTCTTACATTTTAAAATAGTTTTCTCTATATTAGGAAATTCTGCCTCTTTCTGGTACTACTAGGTGGGTGGGGTTTTTTTGTTTGTTTTTTGTTTTGTTTTGTTTTTCGAGACAGGGTTTCTCTGTGGCTTTGGAGCCTGTCCTGGAACTGGCTCTTGTAGACCAGGCTGGTCTCAAACTCAGAAACATCTGTCTGCCTCTGCCTCCCGAGTGCTGGGATTAAAGGCGTGTGCCACCAACGCCCGGCTCTAGGTGGGTTTTTTAATGGAAAAAAAGAATGCCATTGACTTGATGTGTAACTCAGTCATAAGCTGTGCATTTGCAATCCCTGGGTTCCAGAGAGGTCCAGAGAAAGAGAATCTAACAAAAAATATCAGGAGACAGGACTAATTTAAATTACTCAAGGAATTTACTAGTTAGGAAATGAGTTGAGAAAAAGATTTCAGTTAATACATTTTTGAACTCTGTAGCTGTATTACTTAAGAGTTCACAATAATACAATGACCCTAAAAAGTTTCATAAAGTATGTGAAAATTAATACATGAAAGTTGGTATTAAGCTGGGTGGTGGTAGCGCATGCCTTTAATCCCAGCACTCAGGGAGGCAGACGCAGAGGGTAATCTTGAGTTCAAGGCCAGCTTGATCTATAGAGTGAGTTCCAGGACAACCAGAGCTACACAGAGAAACCCTATCTTAGAAAAAAAATACAAGAAAATTGTTATTATAGCTAGGAATAAACACACATGTGGATAATAATTAGATGGAAATAAAAAAAATAAAGGGTATTGTTGGAAGAAAAGCTTTTCCATAAATATAGTATTTTTATGAGAATGAAAATGATACTTGCTTTAAAAGTCAATGTGAAAAAGAAATGAAAAATTAACTTTCCTAGGATATTTATTACTATTTTTTGCCAAACATGACAAGAATTGTCCTTTTTTTAATAGAATTACTCATATTTGTAATTCTTCTCTGGAAGGTCTTAATTACAGAGCACGGTGACCTCGGTAACAGCAGATTTTTAGATCCAAGAAACAAAATTTCCTTTAAGTTTGATCATTTACGGAAAGAAGCAAGTGACCCCCAGCCAGAAGATGTGGATGGAGGCTTGAAGTCTTGGAGAGAATCCTGTGACAGTGCTTTACGAGCCTATGTGAAAGATCATTATTCCAACGGCTTCTGTACTGTTAAGTATCTACCTGTTCCTCCGGAACTGTTGGGACTCGTTTTTCTTTCATTTATCTTATCCTTTTGAAGCTTTGGCCACCAGACGTAACTTATTTTTTTCTCTTGGTTATGGTCACTTCCCTAAACCATTTCTAAAGGAGTATAAGTATATGAAAAATTCTTTTTTAAAGATACACATTTACTATTTCTAGTTATGCATAAGTGAGGACAGGGGTTGCATGTGGGTACAGGTGCCCTTGGAAACCAGAAGTATTTGACCCCCTGAAGATGCAGTTGTGTTTGTGAGCCACCTGACATGGACACTGGATACTGAACCCAGGACCTCTAATAAAATAGTATATGTTCTTAATAAGTCATTTCTCCAGCCCTAGAAATGTTTTTTTAATCATCACTGCATAAGAATTTAACATATCCATATATTATATCTTACATTTCTCTTGTTTACTCAAAATCACCTATACTCATCAAAAAGTTTTTAAAACCAGGTTTGATGGTGTATGCTTGTAATCCCACAACATTTGGAAAGTAGAAGCAAGGGCATCAAGAGTTGAAGGTCTTCTTCCACTATACAGAGAGTTGGACTGTGAGAGAGCTGCTAAGAGTAAGAAGTGGGTGGGATGTATAGTTGCTTGCATCCTGCTTAGCTTTAATGTATTTTACCTTTGTTTTTTTAAGTAGACTGAATCTAGAGATTAGCTCATTGTAGGCAAGCATTCTACTACTTATCTGTATCCCCAGTCTTCATTATAATTTTGTTTTGTTAAGTTTTATTTTGTGTTTTTGATAGATGGTCTCACTAAGTTGCCCAGGCTATCCTTGAAACGTATTCTATAGTCCAAGCTGACATTGAACCTTTGTCTCAGATGTTCAAGCTGAAATCCAGGCTTGCACCAGGCCTGCCTGTGGTTTTAACTTTTTAGTTGACAAATAAAATTGTATGTGTTTATAACATGTAAAACATGATATTTTGAAATATACATTGTGGTATGATTAAATTGAGTGTAGAAACTGGAAATATGTTAGCTTTCATACTTTTGCCCTTTTTTTGTTTGTATTTTAAATAGGACCTCAGTTTGTAGCCTAATTTGGCCTTGAACTTGAGGTGATTCTCCTGCCTAAGGTTTCTGTGTGCTGTCATTACAAGCTTACCTGAACCTCCTCGCCTGGTGCGTGTGTGCGTGTGTGAGAGAGAGAGAACACAGCCTACTCTCAGCAGTCTTCAAATATACAGTACATATAGTTAACTAGTTAGACTTTTAAACATGATGAGTTTGCCCATTAGTAGTGGTGCATGCCTTTAATCCCAACACTCAGCAGACAGAGGCAGAGGCAGGCAGATCTCTGAGTTCAAGGCCAGCCTGGTCTACAGAGTGAGTTCCAAGAAAAAAAACAAAACAATGAGTTTCATAGGAATATAGTTAGTTAAGAACACCTTGAAGCCTGACTGTTTTAAATCCTAACCAGCTTACTTAGGTAGTTGTGTAACCTTAGGTGTAAATTAACTAATATGCCTCAGTATATGTAATGTTGTGAGGATTCGGTAAGTTAACAGAAGATGTTGGGACAGTATATGGTACAACTTGACCTATTCATAAGTGGAAGATGCTATTATTCTTACATGTTTGGTTTTCTCTAAATAATAGAGGGAGCATCATAGCTAAGTCATATTTCCCTTTCAAACATTTTTCAGGAAAAGAAACAATATGTTCTCTCTTAAGAAATCAGCTGTCTAATCTAAAGATACTTGCAATTTACCATCTATTTCCATTCAAACTTTGTCTACTTTTTTGTTTTTGAGACAGGATCTCAAAAACCAGGCTGACCTCAAATTCAGAGATCTTAAGCTGCCCCTGTCTCACATGAAGACTATCCTAGGTCTTATCCTACTCAAGGTGGCTGTATGCACTGTGTTTTCTCTCCTGGTGTATTTCTTCATTACCTAGGAATATGGTCTTGATTTTGTTTTTGAAACAGTCTCATGTAGGCTTTCTTCCATCTTCCTGTCTCTACTTCCCAGGTGCTGGGATTACAAGCATGTGCCACCATGCCTGAATTTAGAAAGTCTTAACTCTCTTGTCTTTAAAGGGAAGTGAAGCTGTCTCGACCCCAGTAATTCCTATAAATTGCTTGTTTCTTTAACCTCCACATTGTACCTCCTGTTTCTTCCTCCTCTCTGCCTTCTCCTTCCCCCAGGCTTGCATTCTGTGTTCCACCAGGAAACCAAGGACATGTTTCCCTGTTAGTATATTTACTCATTAGCAGTACAAGTTTGAACCTTTGACTTTTCACTGTCTTTGCCATTCTATACAAACTGCTTTCTGAGTATACTGAGCCAGCCAATTGGTTCCTTAATTTCTATATGGCATTTCATACTGAGCCCAACCACCTGCTTCTAGAAGTGTTTTTTTTTTTTGCTAAGCTACTTTGCCAATTGCCTAGACCCATCAATTCTAGTTGCTCTATAGCTATTGCTTTTCTTTTCCCCCATATTTTGCATTTAGGCATTTTTCAAAACTATATTTCTCTGTCCTGAAGGTTTACAGTCTTACCAGGTATCAAGGCTCATGCTTGTAATTCCAACAAAGGAATGATGTAGGTTCGAGATCCATCTTGGCTTACATAGTGAGTCCCAGGCCAGCATAAGTAACAAAGTATGAGGCACTATTTCACAATAAAGCCAAGACAACAGCAACAACAAAAGAACAACAAAGAATTTATAGTGCAGTTAATAAGGCAAAGTCTGAGTGTGGGACTCACGCCTAGGATCTCAGCACTTGGAGTGATAAGGCAGGAAGATTGCCAGCCTTGGCTACAGAGTGAGACCCTGTCTCAAACATTAAAACAAAAAGGAAAATACAAATGCATTTGAGGCTCTAAAGTACTGATTGTTTTTTTTTTTTTTTTGCTTTCCGTTCGTATTCCTACCACCTCTACTCTAAGAGCTGATATCTCTAAATGCTAGTTGGATCTCTTACCTAGGTTTCCCAACCTAGGTTTCCCAAGGCACCACATTGGTCCACATCATTCAGGTGTAAATTCGGGTGTACTTTGACTTTTTCTCTTTGCCCTTTGATTACAAATACAGCTAGACTCCTGTTTTAGTTAGGGTTCCCACTACTATGATGAAACACTTACCATGAAAAGCGAGTTTAGTAGGAAGGGTTTTGTTTGGTTTATTTTTCCACATGATTGTCCATCACTGAAGGAAGTCCTGCAGGGTAGGAACTTGAAGGCAGGAGCTGATACAGAGGCCATAGAGGAAGGTGTGCTACTTCCTGACTTGCTCATTCAGCTTTCTTACAAAACCCAGAACCACCAGCTCAGGGATGATACCACCCATAATAAGTAGGGTACTCCTCATCAATCACCAATTAAGAAAATGCCCTAGAGGCTTGCCTATAGCTGATCTTATGAAGACAGTTTCTTTATTGAGGTTCTCCTCACAGATGACTTTAGCTTATGTCAAGTTGACATAAAACTAGCCAGCACAACTTCTGACTGTACTTTGTATTCTGTGTAATACTCCTCGTTACCATTCTCATTCATAGTGCCCTAGACTATTGCCTCGGTTAATTTGTGGCCTCCTAACTGACCTCAGGCTTTTTTTCTTTTTTTTGGTTTTACGAGACAGGGTTTCTCTGTATTGTTTTAGAGGCTGTCGGTCCAGCCCGGCCTCGAACTCACAGAGATCCGCCTGCCTCTGCCTCCCGAGTGCTGGGATTAAAGGCGTGCGCCACCACCGCCCGGCTTTTTTTTTTTTTCCCCATTTTTACCTTCTGTACCAGTATTGATATTTCTCCCAAAGTAATGGTTCTGATCTTGCTTTGTTATCGCTTTGTCTGTGGAATATAGTCTAAACTTTTTTTTGAGACAGGCTTTGGAACCTCTCCTGGCACTCATTCTTGTAGACCAGGCTAGTCTTCAATTCACAGAGATCCATCTGCCTCTGCCTCCCAAGTGCTGGGATCAAAGGTGTGCGCCACCACTGCCTGGCCAGTCTAAACTTTTTACTTGCTATTTAATTAGTTTTTTCTGTTTTGTCACTCCACTAACCTGGCAGGGCCAACTGCCAGTTAGCATGTCCTTGGTTTCCTGCCTGACTTGTCTTTAGCCTCATTTTCTTCCTATCAGAAATGCACATATTTTGTGCAGCCCAGCCTAAGTGGTATCTCACTTACAAAATATGATAAGCAGTAACCTCCTAGGATTTACTGTAGCACTGTTTGTGCTGGAATGTAACACATCTGCTTAGTTTTCACATCCCAGGAAAGCCTGTGTTATAAGCATGCTCTGACACTTTGCCTCCTTCAAGGACTTCAATTTAGCATACTGCTGTTGTACAATTTATTATAGAATAAATATATTCTTCGTGTTTAACTGATTTTTTCCCCCCAACAATAGGTTTATGCTAAAACTATAGATGGGCAACAGACCATTATTGCATGTATTGAAAGCCACCAGTTTCAGCCCAAAAACTTCTGGTAAGAAATAGATGTTCTTTTCTTTTTGTATCCAATTTATATTGGAAAGAAATCAATGAATCAGGGTTTTTTTTTTTCAAACTATCTTGGGATAGATTATTTGATTTAGAGACTTTAGCTCTCCATCTATAAAATGAAGGATTTAGACCTTATTTAAATTCCTTCTATTTCTAAAATTTTTTCTTAATTTTGTGGGGGGGAGTGGCGTTGGTTTTTTTCCAAGACAGGGTTTCTCTATGTAACAGTCCTGGCTACATTTCTAAGACTTTTATCATTGTATCTTTTTGAAAAATACTGTTTGTTGAGCCAATTGGTGATGGCACAAACCTTTAATCCTAGCACTTGGGAGGCAGAGACAAGCGAATCTGGGAGTTCCAGGCCAGCCTGGTCTACGAGAGTGAGTGCCAGGAGAGGCTCCAAAGCTACAGAGAAACCCTGTCTTGGAGGGAGGGAGGGAGGGAGGGAGGGAGGGAGGGAGGGAGGGAGGGAGGGAGGGAGGGAGGGAGGGAGGGAGGGAGGGAGGGAGGGAGGGAGGGAGGGAGGGAGGGAGGGAGGGAGGGAGGGAGGGAGGGAGGGAGGGAGGGAGGAGAGAGAGAGAGAGAGAGAGAGAGAGAGAGAGAGAGAGAGAGAGAGAGAGAGAGAGAGAGAGAATTCCAGGCCAGCCTGGTCTACAGAACAAGTTCCAGGACAAGCTCCAAAGCAATACAGAAAAACCCTGTCTGGGAAAAACAACAACAAAAACAGAACAGCTGTTTCTGCCTCAGAGGGAACAAAGGAAAAGTGAAGTCCAAATACCTTAGAAAACGTTTATTAGTGACCAGCCTCTTATATATTGACAATTTTGAGTTTGTCACATAAAATGCCTCCCACCACCACCACTGGAAATTTTTTTTGCCAGGTCACCTCTTTATTGTGCCTACTGCTAATTCTGCCGAATTGTGTGTATGCATGTGTTTTAATAGGAATGGGCGTTGGAGATCAGAGTGGAAGTTCACTATCACACCACCTACAGCCCAGGTGGTTGGAGTGCTCAAGATTCAGGTAAGAGTGCAATGTATTTATAGGTGACGGTTAAAATAAAGGTGCCATTTGTTCTTCGTTCTGGTGTTAGAAATAAAGACTAATAGAGCACTTCTGTGCCATATGAGCAAGGCCCTAGGTTTGATTCCAGTGCCACAGAGAGGAGAGGAGCAGAGGACTATAGTATGACTATAGTATACATTGATGCAAAAAAGAGGTCAGCAGTGCGTGGAAGGGGAAGCCTCCTTCCTGGGAGTTACTTCAAAAGAAAGCTACTGTGGTTGATGAAGGATGATTATATAGCACATACTCTCTTCTTTTTGTTTCAATAATAAGACAGTGGTTTTAGGAAAGAATAAAGTGAGTATTAAGAAGTTAGGAGGTGGGTACCAGGAATGATGGCACACACCTTTAATCTGGGGACTGGTGGGGAGCGCTTTTAGTGAATTTGAGATCAGCCTGGTCTACATGTGTGTTTTAGGTCATCCAGGGGTATGTAGAGGAAACCATGCCTCTTTTTTTTTTTATTAAAAAGAATAGTTTTATTGTTGCTGGGTTTTTGTTTTTTTGACAGAAAAGTAGGGTGGGCCTTTTTGTTTCTTTGAGACAGGGTTTGTCTGTGTAGACCAGGCTGACCTTGAATTCACAGAGGACGGAAAAGATTTTAACTAACTAAGATTGAATTTAAACTGAAGCAGAGGGATTCTAGAAAATACCCAGGCACTGTCCTCTCATGGAATGCCAGTGGTCAAGTGGGGCAGCTTTTACTGTTGATGCCAGGACACAGGAAGCTGAATGGTAACTATTAGCTCATTTGCTACCTGTCTTTGAAGAGATATGACACTAATTCAGGTGGTTCATTTTCAGTCTAGCTAACTGATGTCTGATGTCAGATTAAATAATTCTGATAAATTAAATGGAATCAGTATCTAATCATGCCACCGCCCTGCAAAGCTGGCATTTTTTTTTAATTTACTTATTATTAATAAGTAAACAGTGTTCTGTCTGCAGGACAGAAGAGGGCACCAGATCTCATTACAGATGGTTGTAAGCCATCATGTGGTTGCTGGGAATTGAACTCAGGACCTCTGGAAGAACAGCCAGTGCTCTTAACCTTTGAGCCATCTCTCCAGCCCAAGAGTTACATTTTCAAAGTGTGATTTATCAAAAGCATACCTAAAAGACAGGGACATAGCTAGTGGTAGAGGGCTGACCTAACGTACACAAGCCAGGGTCTGTCCCCAGCACTGAAAAAAGGAGCAATTTAAAGTCTACTATATCCATACAGGTGCTGTCAGCATTCATTTTTTACTACCTGTATGTTGTTATCCACTTTTTTACCATCCTGGTCTCAGGAACATAGTCCAGCTCAGGCAGACAAGATAGAAATGCTGAATCTCGACTCTACAAGAAATCTACAGCTGATAGATAAATACGGTAGCCTGTACCCTATAGGTAGAATAATACTGGGCGTGTTCTGTTTTGTCTGCCAGAGCTTGGTGCCCACAGCTGTAACCAGCTCAGCAGTGTACTTGCATAACTTCTCTTCTTTGGTTTTACTAGTCCTTTGCTAGTGCTTCCTAAATAAGATTACCTCACATCTTTTTCCTGGGGTCTCCTTTGTGGAGATCCAAACCAAAATATCAAAATTATCTCTAGTTTTTGACAATTAACTCCACAATGTGGCCTAACACTCTGGACTTCTCATAACTGTCTTTAATCAGGGAAATTGCTATACATTTATGTAAGTACATTTCTTTTTTGGACAGAAATAGTTATTTGTGCTTTATCTTTTCCAATGCAAACCTATAGTTAGAACATGCACAGAATGGCAGTTTCTAACAAATTTTTATATCAGGGCATAATGCCTCTTTGTTTATACTAGCTTTTTATTTGTTGTTTATACTAGTTTTTTATTTGTTGTCTTTTTGAGGCAGCTCTCCTGTAGTGCTCAGGTTGGCCTTGAACTTGCTCTTATAGAGCTTAAGATAACTTTGAACTGATCCTCCTTCCTCATCCTCTTGGGATGTAGGCATTGGCCACCAAGTAGAGCTTATTTGTATGCTTGGGATTAAGCCCAGGGTGCTAAAACAAAACAAAACAAACAAAAAAACTATGTGCCACTAAGCAAAACTCCAAACTCCAAGTTTTGGGATTGTTTTAGGTTTAAGACAGGTATCTTGTGTTCCTAATAAGCCTGGAATACCTGATCCTTCTGCTTCCACTTCCAAAATGCTAAGGTAACGGGCCTGTACCACCACAAGGCTTGTTTTCCTTTCTAATTTTGAGACAGATTGTCACATGTACCCAATCTCCTGCCTTGTCCTCCCAAGTTCTAAGAGCTGGGCCTGCCATTTACTTACCTTTTAATAGTCAGAATAAGGACTAGCAAGATTGTCAGTAGATAAAGGCCTCTGCTCTCAGTCTGGTGGCCTGTGTGTGCCACCTCCGCCTGGTTCCATATTGTAGTTCTTAAGAAGCGTAACAGATCATCATGGCTCAAACCTATAATCCTATCTATTCAGGAGGCTACAGCAGGAGGTACAGAGCGAGACTTTGTCAAGAGAAAAAACGAAATTAAAAATAGAACTGTGACAGAAGTTCAGACTAGTTACGTATTCTTTCTTGTTGTTTTGTGGTTTAGTGTTTTATTTTGGGGGAGTAGAATTGCACTGTGTAGCCCATCCTGGTCTCTAATTCGCTGTATAGTCCATGTTGGCAGCAGTCCTCTTGCCTCAGCTCCTACATACTACCACTATATCTGCCTTTTCTCATGGTTCCAGAGGGGTAGGAGTCATGCAGAGGGCCATGGTAGCGAGTGACATGGCAGTGGGAGCAGGAAGCCTAGAGACCACATTCTCAACCCCAGGGAAAAAGCAGAAACAGCAAACTGGAGGTAGGATGAGGCTGGAAACTGTCAGAGCCCACCCGCCCCTGATGTGGTTTCTGTCTCTTAATCTTATTACTGAACTTTGGGAGGACACCCTTCCCATCACCTCTAATAAAATAGTTTGAATTCTTAATTTGGTTCATAAGGTCTTTGCCCCCTCACCATCTAGCTTCAACTCAGTAACTGTGTCTTCTGTCACGCTTGTTTCATGTCTGTTCGTATAGTGAGTCTTTGTCCTTCCCTCAGCTAAACCCACTAATGGGTGATCTCCATTTTATCTGCTCCTGTGTTCAAAACCCTGTCAGCTTTGGGGTTTTGTTGTTTTCAATTTTACAGATGGCTCCCTCCATCCCACTCTGTTTGACCAGTTTCTAGTCCTGTTAAGAGAGCTGACTGAATCTTGTAACTTGCCCAAATCCCTGAGCCTTACATGTTTTAGATCTGCTGGTATGACTTACATTCTTCCCCCTTGAAAATTTTTTGTTTGTTTGTTTGGGTTTTTTTTGGTTGTAGCTCATCACTTACCATATTTACAACTGTGTTGCTGTTTGTTTTGTGGGGCTAGGAATCGACTCTGGGGTGTAGAATAGGCAAGTGCTACCTTAGCTACCATTAACCTGTATCCGTAGCTACAAAAATGCTTCCATCCTACAACTTTTCACATTTATTTATAGGGGAGGGGTGGTGCACATGTCACAGTGCCTCCAAGGAAGTCGGAACAACAGCAGGGAGTTGGTTTTCGCCTTCCACCATGTAGTTTTAGGTGTTGAACTCGAGTTACCAGGTTTAGAAGCAAGAGTCTTTACCCACTGAGCCATCTCAATAACCCAACACTTGTTTTTGTAAAATTACTTTTATTTTATGTATATGGGTGTTTCACTGGTATGTGTGTCTCTGTACCTTGTTATGTGCCTGGTGTCCAAGAAAACCAGAAAATGACATCAGATCCCCTGTAATTGAATTTATGAATGATTCTGACCTGCCATGTGGATGCTGGGAATGGAACGCAGGTCCTCTACAAGAACAGCAGATGTTCTTAACCACGGCACCATCTCTTCAGCTCCTTATTTTTGTAGTTTACTGATATTTTTGTTTTAATTTACTAATATTTTTGGTTTTCAGTCCTCCCTTTAACTTTTAAGCTTTTCCTGAACACATGATATACTTGACAATATTATTACACAGAAAGAAATATCTTAATTAGGTACTAGGGTTCATTAAGAGTCCTTGATTTTTCAGGCTGGAGAGATGCCTCAGAGGTTAAGAGCACTGTCTGCTTTTCCAGAGGTCCTGGGTTCAATTCCCAGCAACCACATGGTGACTCACAACCATCTATAATGGGGCTTGACACACTCTTCAGGTCTGCAGGCGTACATGCAGACAGAGCACTATATACATAATAAATAAATAAGTCATTTAAAAAAAGAGTCCTTGATTTTCATAGAGAAAAACTGATGGTCAGTGATTTTTATTTTAATTATTTTGATACTATTGGAGTAGGATCTTATGACTTGTGGTGGCTCACTACTGTAATCCCAGCACAGCTGATTGCCTCAAGTTCCAGGTCAGCCAGATCTACCTATGAAGACTCTGTCTCAAAAGTAGAATGTGTAGCCCAGTGCCTATAATTGAGCAAGTGTGTTTGTTAAACTTAGTAATCCATTTTCTCTCTTCAAAAGAGAGATTTCTTCAATTTGTTATGTGAATTTTCATACCATTGTGAATTGTCATTGATCATATTGTTTGTTCAAAGTTGGTAAACATGGCTTTAAAAATGGATTGTTCCGTCAGCACTGCATTTCTGCATGAACTTTGTGTATAACCCTTCTCAAATATCTCTCACAGGTTCATTATTATGAAGATGGCAATGTTCAGTTGGTCAGCCACAAAGATGTGCAGGATTCAGTAACTGTTTCTGTGAGTATGCAGTGTGGGATATCAGCCTTACTTTGTCTTTTTTAGAAAATTAGCTTTGCACCTGTCAGTCAACTGCAGATTTTTTTTTAAGATTTACTTGTTTATTTATTATGTATAGTGTTCTTATGCATGTATGTCTGCAGGCCAGAAGAGGGCACCAGATCTCATTACACATTGTTTTGAGCCATCATATGGTTGCTGGGAATTGAACTCAGGACCTCTGGAAGAGGTTTTTGGGGGTTTTGTTTGAGACAGTTTCCTGTGTATCACAGTTTGTCTCTGACCTTGCTTTGTAGCCACTGAGACCTTAGCTCCTATTCTTCCTGCCTCTACCTCTCCACTGCTGAGGTTACAGGCATACACCATTGTGCCCAGTTTTAGCAGTACTGGAAATGAAACCCAGGGTCTTATGGGATCTTGTGTAACCAAGGATGACCTAGGATTCCTAATCTTCCTGCCTCCACCTCCTCTAAATTCTGGAGTTTCAAGTATATACCTCTATGTCCAGCTTTGAGACATATTTCCTTGCTTTTTCTCTTTCTCTCTCTCTCTCTTTTTTTTCCGAAACAGGGTTTCTCTGTGTAGCCCTGACTTTCCTGGAACTAGCTCTATAGACCAGGTTGGCCTCAAATTTAACAGAGGTCTGCCTGAGTGTGGTGGTATATACCTGGAATGCTAGTACTTGAGAGACAAGGCCAATAAGATTAGGAATTAAGATCATTCTTAGCTACATAGCAAGTTCAATGCCAGGCTGCAATACGTGAGATCTTGTGTCAAAAAAAGGCAAAACAGTGGGGTGGTGCTGGCACGTGCATTTAATCCCAGCATTCAGGAGGCAGAGGCAGGTAGATCTTTGTGAGTTTGACCAGCTTGGTCTACAGAGTGAGTTCCAGGTCAGCCAGGGCTATCCAATGAAGCCCTGTCTGGGGGGAAAAAATGACATAGGTAAAGAAGGATGAGGCTATAGTTCAGCAGTAAAGCATTTGCCTAATATGCATAAGACATGCACACATGATGCTATATTTAGGGACTATATAATGGTAGAATGGAGAGAACATTGATTCTTGTGGCAGAGTCCTAGATTTAGATCCCATCTTTCTTTTTTCATTATTGATACATTTATTTAATTTATTTGAGGGTGGTACACACATACCGTTTGTGCAGAGGATAACCTATGGAGTTCAGAAGTCAGATTTTTTTTCTGATACTCTGAAGATTCCAGTTGTTGAACGCAGGTTGTCAGGCTTGAAGACAAGCATCTTTACTTGCTGAGCCATGCCACCAGCCCCTGGACCCTTTCTTTATTATTCATAAGCTGTATAATTTTGGTTAGTTCACTTAGGATTCTGTTTTGTCATCTGCCAAATGAACATGTTGATAATGACATATCCACTTCACAGTTTTGCCCTAGGATTCATTGTACAAGTGTTAGTTCATGGGGTGGGCTTTTCACTGTCTTTTCATTGCCTACTCATTTTTTAAAATGTTATTTCCTTCTTTTATTTCAATAGAATGAAGTCCAAACTGCCAAGGAGTTTATTAAAATCATAGAGAGTGCAGAAAATGAGTATCAGGTAATAAGATTTGTGTGTTATTTTTCTGTGGTTTTATTCAGTCCTTTGTATCTTTTAACATAAGAACATACACTGTTGGGCATTGCTAAGTGTGCGACTCTACAGACCCATGTTTGGCATTCTGTTTACAATTACAAAACTGCAGCCATGTCTCGGGAGTACAGATGAGTTTGATTTGCTTTTAAGATTAGAGAGGAGCTCAGCATATATGTAGTTCTGTGTCCTTTCTAGCATGTCCTTTGAGTACCTTCCTGTTCGCAAACAACTCTTTCTATTCAAACAACTCATCATCAATTATCTATTGCAGACAGCAATTAGTGAAAACTATCAAACAATGTCAGACACCACGTTCAAGGCCTTGCGCCGGCAGCTTCCAGTTACCCGCACCAAAATCGACTGGAACAAGATACTCAGTTACAAGATTGGCAAAGAAATGCAGAATGCTTAAGGCCGACTGTAGGAGTCTCCAGTACAAGGAAACAAAAGGATTCAACATGGTGTGGTCATATGATAAATAAGTTTATAAACAAACAAGAGTGATATTTTGCTAGTTAACAAAGTTAACAGATCTTCTAGCCTCATGGAAAACTGTTGAACCTACAGCACTGTCTTGATTCTTTTGTGTGTGTTCTCTGCCTTGTAATTTTCTGTTATCATTATATCTACTTGTAAATCTTTTTTTTAATTCTGCTACATTTAATGTCAAAGAGATCTATCCTGAAGTCATTTTACTGTTCAGAAATTTTCCTAGCCATGATGTGCTATTACTGGTTTTTACAGAGTATTTGTTGAGTACTTTTTACTCTGTGCTTTAAAGCATTTCTAGTCTTCAGTGGCTTTTACTGATCCACCAATTGTTAAAGAGGCTATGTTACAAACTGTAGCTAAGTGGACAACACACTCCTTCTCTGTCTGACTGCTTTGATCGTTTATAGCATCTCACAATTGTAGTTTTCATGTATTTGGATTGGGGCTTTTTGGGTCCATAATGAGAGTCAAAGGAAGTTTCCTGAAAATTCCATGGCAGCAGCTTCTCTGGGGACTTGTTTTTAAATCCAAAGACTTGAACCACATTCCCTGCACAAGAACGTTTATTTTCATTCTCTCACCTCCTCCCGTATACTTCCATTGTAGCCATAGATGTCTGCAGGAAGTACAGCTTAGAAAAAGCATTGGGGGAATCCAGCATTGTCAATCACATGGGCCTGTTTTCTTCAATGGAAGGAAATGAATGATGCCTGGTTACCTAGAATGCTGGAACGACTGCATCAAACAACCTGGTGATCCTTTGCTATTCTATTAGGAGCCAGCCTCTAACTGACCCCCCCCACCTCCTCTCCCCCCACCCCCACATGATATTCTGAACATTGTTTAGGCCCTAATCCTGGGCTTTGTCTTTCAGTGAATAGAATTTATGCCTATTGCATATCCTTCCTCTCTAGGCCCTAGCCCTAAATTCTGCTTGTCAGTCAATAGAACTCACCGTAAAGGTCACAGGTGCTTTACTATTTGGCAAGGAAATTTCAATGTAGATAGCCCTGAGCCCTGAAGCTTTGTTTTGAGAATTGTCATGCAGAGACTTTCCCCAAAGTTCTACTATGTTTAAATGTGTGGAAAAACTAAAACACAGCATCAGGTTCTAGAAGTTTTAATCCAGTCTGACCAAGCCCGGCTGCACCAAGTTTTCATTCTGTCTCTCCTCAGTCCACTTTCCTGCCAGTAGCAATACCTGCAGGAATGCCTCAACAGATGACGGCAACTTTAGAGGAGTTTTGCCCGTTTGCATTTCTGTTTAAGATTCAAGAACTGGTGACACACTGTGGATGTAGTAGAGTAGAAAACTTGAAAAACACAGGTGTTGAAGGAATAATAGGTATCTGTGTTTTAATGCTCTCTGGCAGGATTGCTCCATAAGCAGATGACTCAGACAGCTATGTCACTCACAAAGCTGGAATGAACCAAAGTGAAAAGGAGAGCTCCTAGGCAGTGTCTTTCTATCATAACTAACATTTCCGAAAATGCTAGTGCTTTCTTCTTTTGAACAAGACGTAAAACTCATTCCAGATTCCTTTCTCCATCATCCTGCCTGCCTAGAACTCATATGTAACTGTGATACAGCTATCTTCCCAGGTATGTTGGCAGGTGTATGTGTGTGATTTCAGAGCACACAGGTAATGTGATATGACCTATGACAACTTGTAATGGTGGATTCATTTACATTGTTTACATTTCTATGACCAGGCCTTAGGGGAAGGTCAGTTTTTTAAAAAACCAAGTAGTGTCTTCCTCCCTGTCCCCAAATACAAGTCAAAACAGAAGGGTGTTTTGCTTCAGCTTTGTTTTTTGCTTAGTAATACAGTCAAGCAGAAGTCTGTTTGCAAATGAAAGCCGTGTAAGCATTTTTGTTTATTTCAAATAAAATATATTTGTATTATTTGTCATTCATACTATCCATCCATGCCACACTATCTTCTGTATCAGGTAGTCCAATAGAAATACACCTGTTTTATTCTAAAACTGTGTCTGTCCTTTCTGTCCTTCTGTCAGCCTTTGTTCTTAGGTAAGACATTCCACTGTTTGTTGAGAATCTTCAGGGTTTCTAAAATTGTGTCCTACTTTCAACTGCTATGGACTTAGTAAATATGCAAAGACTTGTAAAGAACAGCTCCTTTTTAGGTGTGAATAGTCTCTGAAGCTGAGGCAGGAAGACGTCTGTAAATTTGAAAACAGACAGGGCTACATAGTGACTTTCAGGTCAGTCTAAACTACAGTGTGAGGTCATTTCCAAGAAAAAAAAAAGGTAGGTGTGTAGGATGGAGGGGAGCTAGAGAGATGGCTCAGCTGTTAAGAGTGAATACTGACTGTTCTTGAAGAAGACCCAACTTCTGGTCCAGCACGATTATCTGGTAGCACACAACCACCTGTAACTACAGTTCTAGGGGCTCCAATACACTCTTCTGGCCTATGGGCATTCACACATGTGCATACACGCAAACACATACAAACATTTTTTTTTAAATAACCACTAGGAAGGTCTGGTGTGGTGGTGCACATCTTTGATCCCAGCACTCAGGAGGCAGAGACAGGCAGATTTCTGAATTCAGAAGCAGCCTGCTCTAAGACTGAGTTCCAGGCAGGCTAGAGAGATGACTCAGTGGTTAAGAGCACTGACTGTTCTTCCAGAGGACCTGGGTTCAATTCCCAGCACCTACATGGCAGCTTACAACTGTCTGTAACTCTAGTTCCAAGGGCTTTGATACCCTCATTCAGACATACATGTAAGCAAAACACAAGATATTTTTTTTAAAAATAAGTAAATATAAAGAAGGTCCAGTTCCAGGGCTACACAGAGAAATCCTGTCTCAAAAAAAAAAAAAAAAAAAAGAGGAAAGAAGAAAAAAACACAAAAGTAAATTCTAGTTTTATTTAAAAATGAAATTCTAAATCTTACCACTCTCTACCCAAAAGCTGGCTACCAATTACTCAAAGGTTTTGTTTGGGATTTCCACCAATGTCAAAAAGAATCTGGTTATGAAAGAGCAGGGCCTGAATATGATTTCAGTCACTAGGCAGGAGGTAAAATTGGAAGGATTCCTGCAGCTTAAGCCTGAGTACTATTTCACATTTTCACATTGGCTTAACCTTAAATGTTTTCCTCTCTTCCAATTCAGGCTTAGCTACTGATAGCCTATAGGAAAAGTATTTGTCTTGGTTTCAATTAACAGGGAATTCCTATGCTTTATCATCTTGCACTCACTGAGATTCCTTACTTGGGGGGAGGGCATTTAACTGTTCCACTCTTGTAAACATTAAAATAGTCTTGACTTTAACTTGTTACCTCTACTAGCCTTTCCCAAGTTCTATTCATTGATTTCCTTATTCCCAGAAGACTTAAAAAACAGTGTTTAGGAACTGACAAGGTGGTAAGATGATTTAGCATAGCCTGCATTTGTTTCCAGGACCCACATGGTTGAAGAAAAGAACCAACTCTCAAAAGTTGTCCTCTGACCTCTGTACTTGTACAGCTCTGGTTTACTTGTATAGACCAAAGGAAGCTGACATCTTGCCAGTAGGTCCTCAGAAAACCTGACTTCCCAACAGGATAGCGGCTTCGTTTTATCTGTGATAAATCAGCCTGACCTGTCCTAGATAGAGGACAGGGGTTTCCGTGAAACCTCTCATATTTGCGCCTCTAGGTGCATTGTTGAACATTTTTTCTTGGTCATCTGAACCTTTAGTTGCCCAATTCTACCACCTTGTCAGTTTTATAATCTGAAATTTGGTACTAGACTTATTTATTGATGGAATACTTGACACATTCTCTCCAAATTCAAAAAATGCCATCTTACAGTTTATATATGGGGGCCTTGTTTTGTTTGATGGTCTCGCTACGTAGCCCAGGCTGCCTTCAGTTTGAAATCTCCTGCCTCAACCTTCTAAGTGTTTATACCACCAAGCCCAGACCTAGTTTAGAGTTCTGTATTGAACTACTAGTAGACCAGATACCCATGACCAGCTTCTTGTTTCTGAACAACCCATCTGTGACAAGCAAAGAAAGAAAAGGTTAGTAAATATAGAATAAAACTAGATGGACCTATAGCTGTTGAGATACATTCTCTGTAAACATACAATATATACAGTAGCATATCCCTTATGATGATAAACCAGTTGCAGACCTCTTCAGAGTCAAGATAGCAAAAACCATTCTGAGGCTGGTGGTACTGGTGCATACCTGCAGTCCCAGCGTGGAGTATCACTGCAGCTACCAGTCCTGGGGGTTGGGTGGAGGACTTAGACATAAAGATACACAACTTTCTGCCACTCAGGCAATTCTGTCTTGTATAGAGCCACTGTGAGTGTTGAGTTAGAGAATGAAACTGTTTGGTTTCTTTTGAAACAATCTAACTCTTAATCCTGTTGTAGTTGGGATGTGTGAAGCTATGTAGCAGAAACTTTGTCTAGAAAGCTTTCTGTATTTAGGAATATGAGACAGGGCCAAGCGTTGGTGGCGCACGTCTTTAATCCCAGCACTCGGGAGGCAGAGGCAGGCGGATCTCTGTGAGTTCGAGGCCAGCCTGGTCTACAGAGCAAGTTCCAGCAGCACAGCATCCAAAACGATACGGAGAAACCCTGTCTCGAAAAACCAAAAAAAAAAAAAAAATGAGGCAGAGGAAGGCAGATCTTTGAGTTAGAGACCAGCCTGGTCTACAAGTTCTAGGTCCAGGACAGGCTCCAGAGCTACAAAGAGAAACCCTGTCTCAAAAAAAAAAAAAAAAAAAAGGTTAGACCACATTTCAGCACTACCCATGGGAGCCATTTCTAAGCAGTAAAATAGCCACCAAAAAGCATGAAAGGGCAAAAGCCATGACATTAAATAGATCATGAGAACACTTGTTTATGAAGGCTAAAGTAAGGAGGCAGTGTCACAGTGCCTCAGCTGGGAACATAAGACACAAACCACTTTGCTGCTGCTCTGTGGATTTCCTTAGAAAATACAAAAAAAAGTGCCATTAGTGTGGACTTGGGCTACAAATAAATGTTAGGAGGTAAATTTGCAAACAGGCTCTTCAAATAATGAAGACCAACTGTCCTGGTAATGGCCTTTCCCTTGGTATATGACAGACTAGACAATTTCAGTGTTTTAGTTTCAGAGAGGTCTCTAGTTACCTTGGTGAGTATAGTCTAATTTGAATACAAAGGTTAAGAGACTATTCAGATGATGATTTCTAGAACCTAGAATATTAAGAAAATACCGAGGTGTGTGACAGTACCCCTTTAATCCCAGCAGGCAGGATCTCTGAGTGCAAGGCCAGCCTGGTCTACAGCCATTCTAGACAACGTAGAGCCTTCTTGAGACATTTAGAGTGGTCCCATTGTAAGCAAAGCCACTCACCATCAAATACTTACCCAAGTTTTTCCACAACCACCTGTGTTTGAGAATGTTCCGGAGATGGGCCTGAGAAAAGGCCTGAGACACTAAGGTGGCCAGACTTGCTAGTCAGAATTGTTGGTGTGTGGTAATATGATGAGCACGGTTTTAAAAAGACCTTTGTAGACATTCACATATATAGCTTAGTTAGGAATCCAGGGGTTCTGTGCTTAGTCATGTGTCTGGTTATCTTGAGTAAATGATGTCACTGGGTTCTGATTATCAGGTGGGACCTTGGATGCATTGAAGTTCCTAACCAAGCTATTTCTGAATGTCTAAAAGGCATAGTTATTGTACTCTTCACCTGTAGATTGTAGGAGTTTGAATTGGTAAGCAATTTTGGTTTTGGTTTTTGACAGCACCCTTCTATGTAACCCAAAGTTGCTCAAACTCACAGCAGCCCTTCGTCAGCCTCCTAAGAAGTGGACTACAGTCTTGGGCCACTATGCCCCCACTAAGAGCAATTTTTAGGAGTCTACAAACCTTGCTTCCTCCGGGGCTTCCTCAAGTGAAAGGGATGGGGGAGGTGTGGCGTGGCACTGGCTGGCTACTCTCCTAGCTTTGTCCTCTAGTTCACATAATCGATTTCTAGGATGTAAACTTTTCCCTTGCTCCATTTCCCCAACCCTTAGCCTTGATTCTTGCTCACATGGCATTTCCTGTTGCTAAAGCCTGTTACTCCTGGCCTTCATGGTGGTTGGCCTGGGAGGTACAGAGTTAACCCAGCTGGAGCTTGACCCTGTTTGGGGCATTCCCTACACAGGGTTAGACTGTGTGGCCTCCTGTGCGGAACCACTTAGAAGAACAACAGTGGCTTTGATACATGTGTAACTCTGGTACATTCAATATCTTTCTCGCTACCTCATTCTAGTGTGTTTTTTATTTCATTCCAGGGGAAAATAGGTGCAAGGCTTGTTTCGTGTTTGTTGTTATGGTAGCCCCACCCCCTTTAGTTTGTCTAAGCACATTGGTCTTATTCTTTTCCTAATGCTGCTGCTGCTAACCATTTATTGCCTAACATCACTGTACCTTGCTCTCTCGGGGTGCTAATTATATTTTGACGGCTGGGCAACCCTGACGAACCGCTAACAAGCAGTAAAGAGTAGCACAAACTGGAGTGCAGTTAGGTGCCCAAATCCATGGCTCAAGGGCAAGAATCTCCAACCTTGAGATATTGAAGCCTGTGTGCCCCAGAAAGCAAGGTCTAGGTCTTGGCAGAAGCTGTTGTCCCTCTCTCCCACACGTATACACCTTTATCTAGTGAGACACTTACTCGGCCTTCACCCCTCAACTTTGACTCCTGCCGTCCTCTCTGTGTCAGAAAGCCAGAGCAGGGAAATGGGGGAGGGGGCGTGCCGCTGGCTTCCGTACTGGTTTATGTCCCTGGCAGTCTGGGGGAGGTGCTGGACGAGCGGCCCCAGTCCAGCTGCTGCCGACCCATGTCCAGGGCTCTGCCCTTTGCTCTGCAGCTTTTCCCTAAGTCCCGAGGCTCTGGAGAGTGGGCGTGGGAGTAGCCCTAGCCGAGGCTCCAAGGTCCTGCCGGCTGTTTAGGGGGCCCCAGGCGATAGCCACGTTCGGATCCTGGCTA